GGTCCTGCCCAAACTTGGAGTGAGAGGCGAGCTCTTTCCTGAGCCACGCGGACCCTCCATGGTGCCGGCGAACTTCTTTAATTCTTCTTTTTTTTGTTGTCTGTCTTTCTTTTATTAATTGACTCCTAAGGATCTACAGCTGTGGGAGAAGCTTCTGGGAAGCCACAGCCTTGAGGAGCAATTTAGGTCTTCATTTTCCGAACTCTGCCCAAACTTGGAGTGAGAGGCGAGCTCTTTCCTGAGCCACGCGGACCCTCCATGGTGCCGGCGAACTTCTTTAATTCTTCTTTTTTTTGTTGTCTGTCTTTCTTTTATTAATTGACTCCTAAGGATCTACAGCTGTGGGAGAAGCTTCTGGGAAGCCACAGCCTTGAGGAGCAATTTAGGTCTTCATTTTCCGAACTCTTCAGCCTGGTAAGCTGCTTTTATTAACGTGTGTGTGAATTACGTGTCGGTCTCATGGTGAAGCTCAGCTTGGTGGAGTAGGCAAGCAACACAGGCAGCTGAAAATGGGACACAAATTGCTGTTTTTCCTTAAAGCTCTCTAGATGGAGGATCCCATCCAGCTGAAAGAGGAGGGCAATAAATATTTTCAGGCCAGCGACTACGAGAAAGCTGTGCAAAGCTACACTCAAGCCATAAAGCTCAACAAGGACAAGGCGCTGCAGGCAGTGCTGTACAGGAACAGGGCAGCGTGTTTCCTCAAAAAGGTGAGAAAAGCTCCTGGCTTGCCTGGGCAGTGCTCAAGGGGAGAAGAGCAGGGAGGCAGCCAGGGGTGCTCGCCAGCCAATAAATGGAATAATTCCATTTTTTGAATAGGGTGTTTGCAAACTGGTCTGAAATTACTTGTTCTGGGCTTGTCCTGGAGCTGTAAAGCTGCCTCCCTGCTTCAATCCTGATGGGGCTGAGCGTGCTGGTTCAGCTCAGAGACGGTCCCACTTAATCACTTTGAAGCAAAAGCTTTTGGCAGGCAGCCTGCTCCACGCTTACAGGAGAGCCATGGGTCTGTCAGCCACGGGTTGGGGTGCAGAGGCATTGCTCTTGCTTTCTGTCCCAGCACAAGAGAAGTAGATGTAGATATTTAGCAAAACAAAAAGTTATTAGTGACTGTACCAAAATTGTCTCAGCTCCCTGCAGTCGGCTTGTAACGGCCTGCTGTGGGATTTTAGCCGATTGCTTGCATGTTCCTGAATTTTCATTATTCCAGAAGTGACACCAACCCAGAACAAAATGCAGATAGGCTGTTGTGAGTACCCCCTCTCCCATCGCTGCCCGCGGTCTGCTGCTGCATCATCATCATGTTGTCTCACCTATGTTACGGATCTTTTCCTCTCTCCCCTGTCAGTGATTAAGAGATACCTAAGCCCTCATCTTTCCTTCTGTAGGCTGCTGCTGGTTTCACTGGGGTGTCCTGTTAGTAAGTGGGAAGAGAGAGGTCATGGTATGCATCAGCAATGGGGACGTGCCCTGCTATTCCGCTGCTAACAAATCTCTCCCTTCTGGTTTAACAGGAGGAATATGCCAAAGCAGCCTCGGATGCATCTAGAGGTAAGGAGGGGGCTGGTTTTGAGAAAGGAGAGCTGCGTTTCTGGGTGTGCTTGCTCCAGCCTACTCTCACATCTGCTTTTGGGGCACTGTGGGTCTTATTCCTTGATGTCCACTAACACCCAAGTGCTGAGGCCACACGGGAATTAATGGAGAAGGTACAAAAGAAGATGCACCGATTTGGTGCGTCAGTGCAATTGGTGCTGATCGGGTACCAGTTCACTCACCGTGTTAACAACTGCGTCTCGAGGAGCTGTGGTCACTGTAAAGCAACTCACAGTTTACACGGAGGATTTCCCAGAAGCAAACTCTGACGCCTGGTGTTTTGGATCACTTTCACAGCTATTGACATCAATGCCTCGGATATCAAAGCCTTGTACAGGCGCAGCCAAGCTCTGGAAAAATTGGGGAAATTGGACCAAGCATTCAAAGATGCTCAGAAATGTGCCACCATCGAACCCCGCAACAAAAACTTCCAGGAGACCCTGAGACGACTGGGGGCCAACATCCAGGAGAAGGTAAATGCCAGGGGAGCAGTCCCAGGTTCACAGACCTTGCTCTGCGTTACACTGCTGGATTATTGGTCATAACTGGAAACTCGTAACAATGTAGGGGGATAAATAGGCTCCGTTAACTGGTTGATGCATGTAAATTTGAGGATCGGACTGAATGGTTAAATTAAAAAGTGTGGCAACTCACTCCTGAGGCTGGCCTGGTCACTCCTGAGGCTGGCCTGGTCCTGAATGTCTTGGTAAGGTCTTGGCAAGGAGCTGGACCAGCTTTGGACTGGGTCTGGCCGTCACCAGCTTGACTTAGTTACCTTTATGCAGGTGAAGAAGTCCCTGCATCACTAGGTACTGTGAGGTCTCAGAGATGATGGCTTAGGGCTGGCTCTGCCTGTGCCGATGAGTCTGAGATGGGTAATTGATGCTGTCTGAGAAGTGACACCTATTTTGTTATTCAGCTTAGATTCTGTGGTTTGAGGGTCTGTGGTGTCCTTGAAGTGATAAAGGAAAATCGCTCCTCGATTTTTCTCCCTCTGATGCTCCACGCACTCTCTGTTGGCACAGCTGCACATTCAGTTCTCCACGGACTCGAGGGTGCAGAAGATGTTTGAAATCCTGCTGGATGAGAACAGTGAGAAAGAAAAGCGAGAAAAGGTGAGAACTGTCCTGGATTTGACAGGACAAATTGCTGTTGTTTAATGTCAGAGGCTGCACCGAGGAGCAGAAGGCTGCATTCCCTTCCCCACCTCCCCCGGCCGGAGGACAAGGTAAGGAGCTGGGAGATGAACTGCACTCAGACAACCGAGAGGGGAAATGCCCCAAAGAGGCATCACCCTTGTGCTGTGGGAAGGACCAACCTCCCAAAATTCCAAAGGTGGGATCAGACTGGACTTCTGCTCAGGCCCATCTCTGCCACCTTCCCCATGTTTCCCTCCAAGCAATGACCCTCTTGGGCAGAACAAAGCCAGTCCCGATGCACCTGGAGAAACTGCTTTGTGGGCTCAGAGCTGGTCCACTGCATCCATCAGGAGATGGCCACCCCACAGGTCCCACCAGGACATGCCAGAGCTGCACGGAGGTGTTTTGGAAGCTGCCGGCAGAGCCGTGCCGCTGACCCCTGGTTCCTCTGTCTCCCACCCAGGCTGCAAACAACCTCATAGTGCTGGGGCGGGAAGAAGCGGGTGCCGAGAGGATTTTCCAGAACAATGGGGTCAGCTTGCTGCTGCAGCTGATAGAAACCAAAAATGCTGAGCTCATCCTGGCAGCCGTGAGGACGCTTTCGGGCATGTGCACAGGACATAAGGCTCGGGTAAGTGATGGCGTGCTCGAGACCTTCACTGCTATTGCCTTGCACCTGGGGGAGTGGAAAATTGCAATAGTTCACGATGTTTGTGAGCAGTGGGAAAAAAATAAATCCTACAAATAAAATTTTTAATTCTGGGGGAAAAAACCACAAATAAGCAAGTGGGGTTAACACAGACTATTGAAACTACCCCTGTTACCCCTCCTCATCTCCCTATGGTGTTCCCTACGGTGCCTTCACGTGTGCTGGTGAAGTTAAACTTAGAATGAGTTGTTACCATGTAAGTTGTGGTGAGCATGGCTGGGTAAAATCCATGTCCTTCATCACAGGTCTCAGAAAAGCAACAAATAATGAACTTTAGGAAAGTTTTGTCCGAGGCTTAGATGAAGGAAAGCAGGGAGGACCTACAAGAACGTTAAGATTCCTGGGAAGGGTCCCAAGGCAAGTCCCAGGGGTCTCTGAGCCACCTAATATCTTACCCTACACCAAGATAGTTTTTATACAGTGTAAAACAGCTCATAAGAAGCCCTGTCTGTGGTACGTGGTTGGAAGCAGGAGATGGACACGTGCAAAATGAATATGCATGTCGGTGTAACGGCGCAAAGGAGTGGGAGGGAACTACAACACAACAAAAATAAAATCTGCTGGATAAAAATCCAGTGGAAACCTATTGTATGTCATATATATATGTGGAGACATATGTCATACGCAAAGAGGCTGTTCTGCAAAGCCCTCTAGGTCCTTGTGTTTCTGAACGTGCCTCCCGTGAATTACTGATGTGCCACCATGCGTGGGGACAGGCTGCGTGGTGACACTGGCTTTGCTCACAGCCAGGATGGGGTTTACGCACCAAACAGGCTCTTTGTTAACAACCTTGCGTGAGGGCCTCTTCCAAACCCAGCCATGCTCATCTCAACATCCTCGTTGGAAATAGTCTATTGCATTACTGGCAACCCTAGATTTTAGGAGTTGTCTTATTACAAATGAAAATAAGGATGAAAAGCAAAACTACAATACTAAATACTTTCTTTGAACAAGCTGAGCCTGCCCTCTCTAAAGCCTGCAGGAGGGAAAGGCTCGTACCCTTCGCTAACAGCTGCCCTGCTCTCTCCTCTCTGGGGCCAGGCCACCGCCATTCTCCATTACCTGGGCGTTGACAACATTTGTATGTGGATGTCGGTAGACAATGAAGAAATCTCCCTGGCTGTCTGCAACCTCCTGCAGACCATCACCGACTGCTTGCTGGGCCAGGGGAAGGAGGAGCATCACGGGAAGGAGGAGGCTGTAGTGCTAGGTAACGGTGCATGACCTGGTGGTCCTTCAGTCTTGCTGGAGGAGAAGCGGGGCGAGCAGGGAGGGCTCTGCTCCTGGGATGTCCCCCTTAATCTCTCATGAAGTGGGGTCTTTACCCTTTGGCTGTCCAGGATCACAACCTGCACGCAGCTCTTATGGTGTTAACTCAAATACCTGTGTTCCAGCCCTGCAATGGCTTTGAATGGTTTTCACTGGGTTCACCTGCTCTCGAAGGTAATTTCTTGTGACTGGCTGCTACTGTCTTGCTTCTGTGTAGATACTAAAAAAGATTTGAAGGTGATCACAATGCGTTTGCTGGATATGCTGGTCAGTAAGAAAGTATCTGGGCAAGGGCGAGACCGAGCTCTCAACCTCCTCAACAAGAATATACCGAGGAAGGACCTGAAAGACCATGACAACAGCAGGACCATCTTTGTCATCGACAATGGTGAGTCCTTCCCCTCCATCCTGTTCTCGTTTGGGAGATGTGGAGCTGTGTATTCTTGCCTGAATCCCTGTAGAACTGATCCTCTCTATAAAATAAATCCTCTCTGGCTTATTTTGGTGCATGCAAGTCTGGAGCAAAGTTAAACTTACTAGCAGGAAACAGTATTAAGATTAAGAGAAAAACTGTGTATGAGAACAAGAATTTTTCAGTTTCTAGAGGACTGACTTAACCTCCCTGGTTAGCTTCTTCCAATGTATTTGCTGATGTTAGGAGGATTTGGCTTGGATAAATTGTCTAGCTTAGGCAGGATGAGACAAGCACCTGCTGGATCCTTATACTGGTCATTTCTAAAACTGGAAGGGGGTGAGGAATTTTTGTGGGGTGTGTTTTTATACTAATTCCAATGCATACACGTGTTACCATTTTGGTGGAAGTTACTGAAGAACACTTTAGCAAAAGGAGGGTTAAGACATCCAGAATTGCTTGAAAGTTGTTGACTTTTCCTCCAGCCTCGGAGGTCAGTGGGTTTAATGCCTCCTGACAAGAATAACTGATCCAGCCAGGGACCAAATGCAGAGTTTTGCTTATCTCGCTCTGAGAGCTGCATAAAAGCCTGATGCTGCAAACCTGTAACCTCACCAGCAGAAGCTCCTCCCCAGTAAATATCTGAGGCCTTCTTTAAGGCTTATGTGATTAGGCTGCAAAGTAATCGAAAACTGTCCAAGCTGTCTATTTCACCGCAAGAAACCAAAAATAGTATCTTGAGTTTTGTACTGACCCTCTCCCCTCTAACAGCCGTATCTTTCCATTGTTTCCAGGCTTAAAAAAGATACTGAAAGTGGTGGGCCAGATTCCCGAGATGCCTGACTGCCTGCCGCTGACAGAGAACACCCAGCTGACTGCCTCCGTCCTCCTAAATAAACTCTACGATGACCTGCGCTGCGACCCGGAGCGTGACAACTACCGGGTGATCTGCGAGGAGTACATCAAGTGAGTCGGGGCTGGCTTACCGGGGCTGAGCTGGCCCAGAGGCACAGGAGCAGGAGGTCTTAAGGATGAGATGAAGCACTTGCAATCCACGTAGATGTCAAATTGAGGGCCTGGGAGATGATGATTTGCTTGAGATCCTGCTGGATCCTTCAGCTGGGATCCTCAGATCCTCGCATTGTACTCCTACCTGCTGGATCACAGCCTTTGCATGAATTTGGGCTCAGCTGTGTCCCAAACACCTATATATTTCAGCAGTGGAGCTCAGCTCCTGATGTGAGGGAGGACGTTCCCTGCCCAAGGGAATGAAAAGTGTAAGCAACTACTGTTCCACAGGCTGACTCCCTCTATCCCATGCAGGAGCAAAATCGATCCACAGGACATGGATAAGACACTCAATGCCATCCAGATGGTGTCTGGAGTTCTGCAAGGGCCCTTTGACTTAGGCAACAAGCTGCTTGGCATGAAGGGAGTCATGGAGATGATGGTTGCCCTGTGTGGGTCCGAGAGGGAGATTGACCAGCTGGTGGCTGTGGAAGCCCTCATCCACGCCTGCACCAAGCTGAGCCGGGCCACCTTCATCATCTCCAATGGGGTGACACTCCTGAAGGAGATCTACAAGAAGACCAAGAATGAGAAGATCAAAATCCGAGCCCTGGTGGTAAGGATGGCAGCCGCTGCCTCTGTCGCCTGCCACACTTGCCAGCTTAACCCCAAACTTGGGAGAGGGGGGAGGTCCTGGGAAGATGTTGGGTTCACTCACCTCAGCCAGGGAATGGTTTATGGGGCTTCCCCCTACAAGGAAGGGGGAGATGGCAGACCAGGAGAGCACATGAATTATTGGTAACTTGAAGGCAAAACTGGTTAATCTTCCATTCAAGACATCCAATAAGAGCACAAAACCTCACTTTGTTGTGCTACAAGCTGAATGATCTACTGGGTATTAGAAAGCTTCTGCTTTGTTAGAACTGACTTCAAACTTTAGATATGGGATTAGGCTGATTTGGGGCAGCAATAGGAGAGGATTAATGAACCTTTCTCACTGGTGCACCCCCTTCATCCTTCTCAGGGTCTCTGCAAGCTGGGCTCAGCAGGAGGTACAGATTATGGACTGCGGCAGTTTGCTGAGGGGTCCACTGAGAAGTTAGCCAAACAGTGCCGAAAGTAAGTGGTTTTACTCTTTTTTTTTCCTTCTGTTGTTCCATACTTTGCAAAATACAACATGCTCCTTTCCCCAGAGATCCTGCCCACATATTGCCTTCATTTACTGCCTGACAGCTGACAGTGCCCCCAGAGCCATGGCACTGGGACCTGGAGCTCTTCTGTGCCTCAAGCAACCATATGTTCCTCCTGCCTCAATATCCAGATAAGGCTTCTCCCTCCCTCCCTTCCCATGTGAGACACCACACACGGTGCCTCCCTCTTCGCCACAGTGGTGCAGCCTAATCAAGTGCTATCTAGAATATGCACAAGTACCTTTTGAAGGTCAACTTACCAGGTGGACTAACCAAGGAGGTGGGATGAAGTTAGGAAGTGACTGAATGGGTGATCATTGCTGCTGGCACTGGATAGCTGGGCATCGTGCTTCATGTGACGGTGAAGGCAAAGCAGTGCTGAGTAGCTGTCCTGGTCTGCCTTTCCCTGCAGCATTTAGATCCCTCAAGTTGGGCCACGGGAGGAAGGTCATGTCTCAAGGGAAGCATCCACACTTTAGGAGCTGCAGCAGAACCTGAGTACATGTTTGGGCCTGAAACCTTCTCAATATCTGTTTTTCCTCCCTCTTCTCCCAGATAAATTAGTCCTGGCTCCTGAGATAGAAATGTGGATGTTTTTCTCTCTTCCAGGTGGTTGTGTAACACCAGCATTGATGCCCGCACTAGGAAATGGGCTGTGGAAGGGCTGGCATATCTAACCCTCGATGCAGATGTGAAAGACGACTTTGTTGAAGACGAGCCAGCCCTGCAAGCCATGTTTGAATTAGCCAAGGTCTATCTCCTTACCTTGTTCCCTCGTTCCTCTGGTAGCATCAAGTTCTGCCAGCTCTCCAGCCCAACACTGTCTTCCCAGGCAGGAGGAGCTGTGACCCCTAGTTTAAACCTCTAGTTTAGCAAAACCTCTGTTTTGCATGTGCCACAGAGACACCTCAAGGTTGTTATCAACCTGTTCTTCTCCCAAGGCTGAGGAAGGTTACTCTTACCTTTACTGTCAGCAACTGCATGAAAACCAAAGGCATCAAGGTGTTGACAGCGTCTGATGATGTCAAACAGCCTGTTTGACCATAAAGACTTTTGGTTTTGCCTGCCCTGGGCTATAAAGCTGGGGGTGAGCCTAAGAACACTTCAGCTAGTGCAAAACACCATGACGGCAGTTCTAAGGGACCTGTTTCTTTCCCGTGTCCTCCTCACCCTTACATAGGCTTTTATTTTTCTGTGCAGACAAGTGACAAGACTATCTTGTATTCTGTGGCTTCTGCGCTGGTGAACTGTACCAACAGCTATGATACCAAGGAGCTGGTCCCAGAGCTGGTGCAACTGGCAAAATTCTCCAAGCAGCATGTGCCTGAGGAGCATCCGAAGGTAGGTTGTCCACAGCCAGGGAGCTGGGAGGAGGTGCTTGGATCTGAAGACTCTTTGGTGTATCCATTGCCGGATAGACCTCAGGTCTCAGAATCATAGAATCATTAAGGTTGGAAAAGGCCTCTAAGATCATAGAGTCCAACCATCAACTCAACCCCACCATGCCCACTAAACTATGTCCCTAAGCGCCTCATCTACATGTCTTTTAAATACTTCCAGGGATGGTGACTCAACCACCTCCCTGGGCAGCCTGTTCCAAGGCTTGACAACCCTTTCAGTAAAGAAATTTTTCCTAATGTCCAATCTAACCCTCCCCTGGCACAACTTGAGGCCATTTCCTCTCGTCCTATCGCTGGTTACTTGGGAGAAGAGACCAACCCCCACCTCGCTACAACCTCCTTTCAGGTAGTTGTAGAGCGCGATGAGGTCTCCCCTCAGCCTCCTCTTCTCCAGGCTAAACAGCCCCAGTTCCCTCAGCCACTCCTCATAAGACTCCGGTCTCTGAGGCTGAAATTGCTTTGCTCTCCAACCAGGCTTGGCTGTAGTCAGCAGGATGGCAGCTAAGGGGCTAATCCCTTTCCAATGTTCCCCCTCAGGACAAGAAGGATTTTGTGGTGAAGCGGGTGAAGCGGTTGCTGAAAGCCGGTGTTGTCTCTGCCTTGGCCTGCATGGTGAAGGCGGACAGTGTCATACTGACGGACCAGAGCAAGGAGCTCGTTGCCAGGTGCCTTCATTGCAGTCGTGGGAACTGGGGGTGCTGGCCAGCCCGTGTGCCACCGAGATGGGCGCCTGGGCTGGCTCCTTGCTTCGCGGGGTGGTGCATTCTGCCTACGGGGGTGAGATGAAAGGGAGGTGGAGAAAAGATTTAAACCCAAAGTTTTTCTTAAGCAATGTCATAAAAATCCATGTTCTGACTTTAAAGCTGGCTTACAGGGCTGCCTTGCTAGGATGCATTTTGAACTTCTAGTCCTCTGTACTGGTTTTGGCTGGAATAGAGTTCATCCTACAGACCTGGAAACTTTTTATTGTGCCTTTTGTTGCTTCCTCCTAGAGTGCTGTGGGCACGGGATTAAACATCTGGAATTTACCTGGTGGATCTGGCAGCCCTGCAAAACCTTAGCCCTCTTCCATGAGGGATGTGGGTTATTGCCTTCCCGCGTGGCTGTTTCACTAAGTGATGTTGTGCTTCTGCAGGGTGTTTCTTGCCTTGTGTGAAGACCCCAAGGACCGCGGGACCATTGTCGCTCAAGGCGGTGGAAAGGTGATTCCTTTTACGTTTGCAGCCCAACCTGACGTGCAGTTAAGGTCTGTTGGGAGCCTGCAACGTGTCTACAGTGAGGGAACGTGGTAGAAAAGCATGAGATGTCTTGGTAGCCCCTGGGGCCCAGACTGACACTCCAGTCCTATCTCTGCAAGCCTCCAAAGAAGCAATCTTCTTAAAACAACTGTGTGTGAGCTATAGGCCCTGGTGTGGTGCCTGTTTGGGAACAAAAGCAAGACATCACTGTGGGCTACAGTCCAGACCCGTTTCTTCAACAGACATCTTTAGGATATTTTTAACTTATTTTAGTATATTAAGGCAATCCTTTAAATCTTCTCAGGCATTGAATGCTTTCCTGTGTGTCACTAGGCCCTGATACCTCTGGCTGTGGAAGGCACAGAAGTTGGCAAGATAAAGGCTTCTCACGCCCTGGCAAAAATTGCTGCTATCTCCAATCCTGACATGGCATTCCCAGGGGAGAGGGTAAGCTGGGGGGAAAAAAAAAAAAGGATAAGAAAAAAATCTTGATAATTGCTTTCGCAAATGAAAATTGCCAAGATCTGTGAGCTGGAAAAACAGTGAGATGCGTTCTCTTCTTAGGTGTATGAGGTGGTGAGGCCCCTCGTCAGCCTGCTGAACACAGAGAGAGATGGCCTCCAGAATTACGAGGCTCTGTTAGGTCTCACTAACTTTTCAGGAAGAAGCGATAAACTTAGGTGAGTTTAACTGCTTTTTGACCTTCTTTCTTCCCCAGGAGTGAATGTGAATTTCAGTTCAACGCTTTTCTTGCAGGACTGGCGGCTCACGGTTTAGACAGGTACA